CCTGTAGACCCAGCTACTTGGGAGGCTGAGGCAGGAGACTCGCTTGAGCCCAGGAGTTGGAGGTTGCTGTGAGCTGCTATGCCATGGCACTCTACCCAGGGGGATAGCTTGAGGCTCCGTCTAAAAACAAAAGTCCTCAACTTTTAAGAGATAAATGTCTATAGATGAAATAATAAGTTTGCTACAAAATAATTTAAGAGGCTTGGCGCCCATAGCACAGTGGTTACGGTACCAGCCATATACACCAAGGGTGGAAGGTTCAAACCTGGCCCAGGCCAGCTAAAAACAATGACAACTACAACAAAAAATAGCTGGGTGTTGTGGTGGGCGCCTGTAGTTCCAGCTACTTAGGAGGCTGAGGCAAGAGAATTGCCTAGGTCCAGGAGTTTGAGGTTGCTGTGAGCTGTGATGCGATGGCACTCTACCCAGAGCAATATAGTGAGACTCTGTCTCAACAACAACAACAAAATAATACTAATAATTTAAGAGGCTCAGATAAGGGTTAATAGAAAAATTGGCCACATATTAACAAATCATTTACTGGCAGTGATGGAAATGCAGCATTTATTATTGTAGACTCAACTTCTATAAGTAAAAATTTCCAGAATCTGAAAGTTTATGAGTAGGGCTTACTAGCACTATGACCATATGCTAGCATGCTTGGGTCAATTAGTGATGAAACCATCAGGCGCCGGCCCCATATGCCGGAAGTTGCAGGTTCAAACCCAGCCCCAGCCAAAAAAAAAAAAAAAGAGAGAAAGACTATCATTCAAATTTCATGGCTTAGCGCCTGTAGCTTAGCAGCTAGGGCCAGCCACATACATCAGTGCTGGTGGGTTTGAACCCAGCCCAGATCTGCCAAACACTAACAACTACAACAAAAAATAGCCAGGCACTGTGGCAGGTAGTTCCAGCTACTTGGGAGGCTGAGACAGAAGAATCACTTAAGCCCAAGAGCTTGAGGTTGCTGTGAGCTGTGACACCACAGTACTCTACTAAGGGTGACATAGTGAGACTGTCTCAAAACAAAACAAAAAACAATTTCACCAAAATTCTGTATGAAATTCAGAAATGAAGATAATGGCTCGGCACCTGTGGCTCAAGCAGCTAAGGCGCCAGCCACATACACCTAAGGTGGCGGGTTCGAATCCCCAGCCCGGGCCCGCCAAACAACAA